AATCATTTGCTGTTATGCTTTTGAGAGACTTAGCAATATACAGACATACTTTTATTGTGCTTCACTTTTTACACTTTGTAGATAATGCATTTTTTACAAATTGAAGGTCCGTGGCAACCCTGTGTCGAGCAAGCTTATTAAGTAACATTTTCCAACAGCATTTGTTCATCTCGTATCTGTATCACATTTTGGTAATTCTAGCAATATTTCAAAAAATTTTTTTTATTATTTGTTACAGTGACCTATGATCGGTGATCTTTTGTGTTACCATTGTAACATAAGATGTGGTAGAAATAGCAAGAGAACTAGAACCGGAAGAGAATTAGAACTGGAGCTTGAAGATGTGACTGAATTGCTACAACCTCATGACAGAAGTTTAACAAGTAAGCAGTTGCTTCTTATGGATGAGCAAAGAAGCTGTTTCTTGAGAAGGAATATACTCCTGGGGAAGATTCTGTGAAGATTATAGAAATGACAACAAAGGATTCAGAATATGACATGAACTTAGTTGATAAAGCAGTGCCAGGGTTTGAGAGGACTGATTCCAATTTTGAAAGAAGTTCTACTGTGGGTAAAATGCTATCAAACAGCATTGCACGCTACAGAGAAATCATTCTTGAAAGGATGGGTCACTCGCTTCTTAATTTAAGAAACTGCCACAGCCACCCCAACCTTCAGCAACCACCACCTTGATCAGTCAGCAGCCATCAACATCGAGGCCACACCCTCTACCAGCACAAAGATTATGACTGCTGAAGGCGCAGATGATGGTTAGCATTTTTTACCCACAAAATATTTTTTAATTAAAGTATGCACATTGTTTTTTTAAAAACATAATGCTATTACATACTTAATAGATCACAGTATGCTGTAAACATAACTTTCATATGCACTGAGAAAACAACACATCCGTGCGACTCCCTTTTTTGTGATATTTGCTTTATGACAATAGCCTAAAGCCAAACCCAAATATTGCCCGCAGTATCTCCGAGGTATGCTCATATTTTTGTCTAAAGGCGGGCTTAAAAAATTAAGAGGCTGGCCATTTTAGTTCTGGCTCTGGGCAAATATCACTAGCATCACCCCAAATATCCAGGACCTTGATGGTGTTCTATGGCAAGCCCAAAATTCTCCCCATCAGAAGCCATATCCCTGGGAAATAGTATTCTATATATCTATTTTCACGCTCTCATCCAAAATCTGCTCTCAGCTAGCCAAATTACTGAGAAAAGGACCTAATAAGAACAAGTTTAATGTGTTACTACCAAGATACTACTACATTTTAAGAAATAACAAGTTCAGAAAGCAAAGTAACAAAGCTAATAGGAGAAATTTTGTTATCATTA